TTCCCTCATGAGTTGGTGGAGATTAAAAACATAATAGGATACTGGCCGAACATTTGTCAGGTGGCCAGAAAAGAGACTCCAAATGAATCCTGCTCCATGTCTGTAAGATGAGTAAATAAGCAACTATAGCTAACCATGTTAGTTTATGTTCACCAAGTGTCCAAAAAAATCTGTTAATGTAGTTGGGGGGGTGTAACATTTAAAGCTCCCATATCTCTGCATGCATTAATAATATTGTCATCCACCTTCAAGGTCGAGTGTTTATCAATCGGCTATAATCTGAAGACAGTTTAACAGCCAATCCTCCGGAGTAGCCAGCAAATATCTGGATAACAGATAATGGATATCTGGGCCAAGGCTTACTCTTTTGTGTGTCAGTCGTTGTATGCAGTCCAGTTAGCAACTTGAGATGCATATGAACGCAGCACATTTTTAAAAAGCAAATAAAAAGCTAAGTTGTGACGTGATCTGTCCAGTACTTATTAGATTACATTTCAGCCAATGTGTGTCACCTCTTTTGCTCTCCACGCAGACTGTTTACCTGCATGCAATCAAAGCCCACTCAAATGTGATTGGTCAGTACAACTCAGACTACAATCAAACAGGAATCAGAAAGCTTCCGATACCAACATCTTGTCCCTTGCCTACAGATTCTGCATTCGTATGCAGATATCTGTTCATAGAGATTATGTGTTTACCAAACTAAAAACAAAGACGTGTGTGTCCTTCCAACAGGGGGTGTTTCACTACAGTCTGTATTTAATCTCCAGTTGTAAACTGACTGTTGTCTCCCCTCACTTTGTTGTAACAATACAGTCAAGGTTGATGCTGTCAGTTCCATTTTAAAGTAATCAATACTGCCGGCAATCAAAATGGTAACAGTGTCTGAGAGAGAATGGACAAAAGAAAGGAGATAAGACGAATTAGAAACCTCTTTCCAATCAGAGAGGGAGCAGCTGAAGAAAGCGTGTGTGTCACTGAGTAGTGTGTGTTTTATGACAGTGAGTACAAAGGTCTAAGGTCCAATGATCAAAACATTACTCCAGGCACCGATGCATACATATAGACACACAGAAACACACGCAAAAACATGAAAAAAAGTTTTTCCCCATTTTCATGTTTTGAGGAGACATGTAGAAACCCTACACTCCATATTGTACTGTATCTCACACACACACATACTCACATACACATAGGCCTGGCCAGTATAGCTAATCTTCTTAGCAATCACAAGGTTCAACTGCTGGAACAGAACAAAGTTCACACCGTCAACAACAACAGAGGTGGTATTCCTACCGAGAGAGAAAGAGAGAGAGACGGGGATAACAAGAAAACCTAGACAGACAGATATACACAGATATAAAAAAAGAGACAGCAATAACGCCACAACTTTTACCTCTGGACCAGCTTTTCCTTCTGTGGAACTATTCTGTGGATTATCTCACTAAGCTCTGCAGTGAAACCTGATGTGACACTGTCTGAATTTTAAAATCGAACTTCTAACTCTTTAAAGTTATGTGACTGCCATTGCCAAAACGTCACCTTTGACCTCCCCTCAAATCCTGGCTACTGGAGACAACTTCACATCATTAAGGACAACTGTCAGGACATGGATGTATTAGCTCACTGATAATATCTGGCAGCCATCTGCAACTCACTTCCACCTACACCCATTCAAACCTGCCTTTGTGTGGAACCTGAAAACTGTAAGTAGATCTTATAATAATATACTAATGATATGATGCTGCATGTGTTAATAAATAGTTTCCTGGTAATTGTTGTGGGAACCTGCACCAGTGTGATTCTTTTTGTGTTTTCTATATTAATATTTCTCTGCATATACTCTTTTTATAATATTTTTAACTTTGGTGGCTTGTATAAAGAAATCTTTATTTTTATTATTGTTCATTTCTTTGTATTTATACATGTGTATGAATTGGCACACATGCACTAGCTCACAAGTTAAGCTATGACTTTACCATTAACAAACACTACAACAACCACTATTACAGCACTGTGTCCTCAAAAATTGACTTGCTGTTTGAAATAGGGCTGGATGATTGGGTTGAAGTGAATATCACGATAAAAATCAACATCACAATATGTTTCATACATGGAAAACCACATAGTAACATCACATTTATTAAAATGCATTCCTTAAAATACCACATTTAAAAAAAAGATGTGTTATGTGTTTAACTTAGTAAGCTCTTTCTACAGTATATTATTATAAATTCTTTGTAGTTTACTTTACTAAAAGGATTTACTCCAACCCTACTGACCTTTTAAACTGCTGTACTTCAACATGTAGGTAGGACTTCCCTCACTTTAAAATACAGTATCTTACGTGCTATTAAAACAAGTGTCACATAGAAGTTTTCAATAATTTTTAGGCCTGTTTTAATCTTGGTGCCTATTTGTTTTGTCTTGTCCTTTGTAGTTATCTGATCATGTCTCAGTCAGGTATCATATTGTAACATTAATCCTGTCTTCTCTCCTCTCTATTTACCTTCTCCCATGCAGGAGCAGCATGGAGGTGCTGAGCGGCCCATGGGCGGATCTGGCTCTGCTCCTTCGACAGACCATCACCCAGACAGACACAGACACAGACAGCTTTGTTCCTCTGTGGTTGTTCGGCCTACTGCTGTTCCTGTCTGTCTGTCTGCTGCTGCTGCAACTGATTATCTACCTCAGCTGGAAACTCAGACAGGGTAGGCATGTTATTAACTTTTCATGTCGAGGCCATGTCCAGACCTTGTGTTATGTTATATTTACTGTGGTGCTGTGTAACTAGAGGGGGAGCCTCTCTTCACACGTCACACATACTATAAATACATAAAATCATCACCACATAAGGGTTGCTGCATAAAAATTCTCATTTCATACTTCCGCAAATTCCACAGCAAAATAAAACATGAAGTGCAACCACTGTATCTGCAAACACAGTAGGAGTCTCATATTCAAATTGTCCTTTGAACAATACCTGACAGCTCCTGCCGCTCAAATAGAATAAATGTCTGGGGGCCCTGAAGCTAAGCTACACTCTAAATAATAAAACACATCTAAAATGGGTTCAAGTAAAGAAAAAAAAAACATTGCAAAGTGACATTTTTAGGATGAAAAAAAAACTTGGCTGTGAAGATACTGATCACTGAGATGATTAGTTACACCGTCCTGGTTGGTGTCTGTGTGTGTTTATATCGTAGAGTGCGTAAGTGTGTGTTAGAGAAGATAACAGCAGGTTTTAATGTCCTCAAAGCATGGACACATTTTTTTTTTATCTGTGTGTGTACCCTGGTAACAAGTGTTGTTTTGATAGATGAACCTGACCCCTTTGTGCTTTGCTTTGACATAAAATACAGACACACACACACACACACACATCCAGCAAAGATCATGGGTCACCTTTCATCATCTGCTCCCACTCTCTCTGGTGTGAAGTGAAGATTAGCCCGATCAATTTCAGTACCCAGATTGGCCTCAAGTCTGTTGTGTGCAGCCATCTTAATAAAGGGTGGGTGTGTTCATGGTGACTACAACTTAGATTGCTGGCAATTTAAATACAAACCTGTAAGACTGTTAGTCTGGTGATTTTTGATTCTGTCTAAAATACTGAAACAAACGATAAACTGATCCGACTAACAAGTATTGTCTGTGTATCCAAAGCCTGATATATCTTCTTCCTTTCTATCACAGACCTCCATTGTTGCCAATAAATTATTAAAAACACACCAATAAGCCACACTGTTGGGTAGCATGTTGACTCATTACCATGAATTCTCACATACATTGTTAGCACTTCTTGAATCAAAGAAGTACTGGAGAAAAGCTTGTGTGTGTGTGTGTGCGCGGTGTGCATTATCTGCTGTTTATTCTGAGGCTAATTATTATCAATTACAACTCATTTCACACCTGCAGTTTACTGTTTGTCACTGGTACTCAAATTAAATAAACTACTTTTCATTTTTAGTTCAGTGTTTTACTACTTCTGTCTGCATCTGTCCTCCAGTGATTAAACCACTAGAGTTGTATTTTAAGTGGTTAGCTGTTCACTAGCACAGTGCGTTGAGTGGTTGCTCTCAAACAGGGAAACATTCCTGTCATTTACTTTAGGATACATTTAAAAAACAAAAGTTAAACTAAAGATATTTTGTTACCTGTCTCACCTGTAGCCATCACGACCGAGCCGAGTGCGCATGCGCAACAAGGAATCGTTCATGAAGGGCTTACCTCGGTAGCTAATTAAAACCAATTATAAACACATGGCTGCTTATATATTGTGACAATGGCCACCTAAATCATCCATAATCAGTCATTAAAAAAAGTTTGAGTTAGTTGGTAAAAGTGCAACATACCAAAGAAACAGTGACCATGTATAGGTAGCTGAACGACCTTTAACTGTAGTACAGTAACTGTATTATTTATTATTACTAATAATAGTAATAATATAACAATAATTTCATCTGCACTACGTTACAAACATTGCTCTGTATTTTATTTCTTCTTTCATCCAGTTGACGCTGAAATGTCGGGGTTTCCACGAGACAGAAGCGCCATCTACAGGCACATACACAGAAGTACACATCAGAGGAGAAGAAGTGTTGGGTAGCACTCACAACCTGGCAGGACAGACACTTCAAACCTGTTCATATGGACACTTACTGATGGTTTCCAGTCAGCATGAGTATCTTTACAGAGCAATGGGACATATGGAAACACCAGCAAGGCCCTGGGAGGAATATAACTATGGTGCTTTAAGAAGATGAATGTAGAAGCCTGTAAAGATACTCTAACTGTTACAGAAGATATGTGGAAATAAGAGACTGATATCACTATGAATCTAAAAGCATCTTTTAGAGCTGTATTTTATTTTTACTCATCCTTATAGTGTTATTCATTTCCTATGTGCTAGTAATTGTACACAGTTTACATTTCATGCCAGAAAGTACAAGAGACTGAAGCTTAAAACAGTGAATAAATAAATGACAACGACAAACAGATTTCAGAGTATAACAATCCTTTATTTAAACAGTGTTACACAGGGGAGGAGTGGCTGCGTGTGGGGAGACACGAGACATTTAAGCTGCTAGATAGAAAAACCCTACCGGTGATCATTGGTTGGCTAAGAGGGAACGATGAGGCAGCTGTGGTTGGTTTTCCAAAATCTGTTTACAAAGTTTTGTTGCAAGTGAATTTTAAAACATTAAAATACAAAATTGTGCTGGTATCAATTCCAAATATGTCCAAAGTGTGGTACAAAGCCTGAGATACAACTGTAAAGCATGTAGTCCAATTATAATCTCATCAGCCTCATATAGAAAGAGATGTTATTGTATGAATTAGATTAAATCTACTGGCAGTATTTTTATTTATTTAGTTGCTTTTTCTGTGTAACGCTGCCCTCCATAATGTTGCCATGTTGAGATCCCTGACAGTTTTAAACTCTGCTGGCGTAGAATCATCATCAGTTGCTTGGAGCGACATTATGGAGTTGCCGTGGTAACCACAGAACAACAATCCAACTCTGTGTGTGCTGGAGTTATTTTCTTAAAAGTTGATGATGGCAAGACATATAATTTGTGATTGAGTAACCTCAAATAAATATATTTTGTTTTGGAAAACCAGACGTCACAGTCCCCCCAAAGCTCCTGTGATTGGTTAAAACAGAGCCCAGAGCCCCCTGGGAAAAGAGACCTGGGGAATACAAGTACAAAAAAAAAAAATGGTGGCAGAAATTTTGATTTGTAGTGGTGATCCATCAATGTCAAAAAACACTGTGACAATATTAAAATATGCAACAGGGCACGCAATAAATCCCGCCTTTCAACAACTAGATCACAGACAAAAGACAACAAATTCTGAGCAAATCTACAAATATAGCTATTGTGATATAACTGATGCTTTTTTAAAAGATTGTTTTATGTTTTTTGGAACAGCGAAAGCCTCCAAAGCTGCCTAGTCGTTTGTATTTTTTAAATGCTTTTTTTTTTTTTGTCCTGCTTTGTCTCTTTGCAAGAGGGTTAGAGGTTAAAGCTTCCCCCTTATCTGGAATGTCATTTATCTGCATAGTAGAGGTCAGACCAGTGTTTCCCAATAAAAAAAGCCTAGACAGTCATCATCGCTCCTTCTATAAATCATTCTGTTGACTTCAGTCATACTGGAGGGTTCAGACTAATCTAGGCAGGTACAGGTGGAATGTTTTTATATTCATCTGTGGCACTTCTTTGCTTACAATCAGTTGAATTTCCAGTAATAGGTTTTTCTGTGTCAACTAAATGCATTAGTCCAAACACCTTTATCTAACCAATCTAATGCCACCGATATTTACACAAAGTCACATTTTTGTGTAGTTCTGCTGAACATCTGGGTAAACACAGAAAATGAATAAAACATTATGTCCTTTAGGGGTTTCAAGAGCACTTCAAACCCTCGGATACACTTCCCTTTAAGCTGCATTTTACCGTTAGGTTGTAACCGTTTCCATGTCGGTTTGTAGTGTACTGTCAGATGTGTTTTATGTTTTTTGCGTGGTAATGCCAAAGAATATTTGGTGGTGTTGAAACTGTTGCAACACAGCCAGCATAAGGTCAGAGACAACCTTATCTAGACGTACTGTATGAGCCAAGATTATCTGTTATCTACACACTCTCAAAACAATCAACACAGTAGCCTTCTATCTAGACTCGCTCAAAATACTCTTCCAAGATAAAACTGTGTGAAGACATGCTGAATTTAATCCCAGATCTCGCCATATCTAGCAGGTTTCGTCTGTATCATCTAGTCTGGAAATGAAACGAAGCTGGGAGTGAAATTAAGTGCTGAACTACGACGACACACAGGCTGATGCAGAGTTAGCAAACTCAAAAATTCCATTAATCTGAATTCTGGTTTCAAGTTGTTTCCGACTGTATGTCCTCATTCTGGTACCTGTGCTGGTTGTAGCACAACTCTTTTTTCAATAGCATTGTCCTAAAAATATTAAAACGTCTTTAACTGACTGCAGGATGTAAAGTTAAAGGAGTGAAACTTGCCCTTGTCGTATACTAAGGCCAACAAGCATCAACGTTCAAAACCTTTTTCACTCCCAAGTTGTTAGTTGGCACCGCAGAGTGCCACCTCTGTCTCCCAATTATCGTTCAGTTTACTGGTCCTCTCTCCCAATCAAAAAGTCTGCTACCTTGCTTCCCTGTGGCCCAATAGGAATGGCTAGTGTCGTACAGTGGGCGGGCCCAGGGAGAGCGTTTAGCTAATGAAAAGCCGCATTACTGCTCCCAACTAATAACCTTCATTTGTACTGTACAGAAAGTCGTATACACTAACTTTAAAGTCAGTTCATTTTCAGTTCAATTTCCATGTAGTAAAAACTCAAAATACAGTAAAAGCTACAAATATATCACAAGGAATTAATTCCACCTGCATCATTTGGCTTCTGGAGCTTAATTAATGTCACTGACCCCATTAAGATTCCTTTCATCCCCACCTACTGTAAATAGTAAAATGCCTTCTCCTCTTAGAGTAAAAAGTGAATTGAACTGAACATGAAACTCACTCAGCCGCTAGTCACACACAAGGAATGTGGATGAATATTAACTATACTTACAGAGAAAAAAAGACAGAATCATAAAAATTCATAAACCTGGTTGATTGCTTTTTTACTGCAATATTTTAAGTTACAGCTCCCTGTTTTCTGCAGTCATTAGTAACAAAATGTGACACAGCTGGCTCTACCATTCATCCGACTGTAAAGGTCAGAAGTGTCTCCCGGTTTCCTGCAGTGCTGCTTGTTACTGTAAAAATGTCGAAATTACTGTGTTATATTATATGTTACTATCCATTTATATCATAATGAACTGAGGGAGGGAGCTGTAATTTAACAAATGACTTCTTTTTTTTGTTTTAGGAATGCACCAATACCACTTTTCTACTGCAGATACCAATTCCAAGTACAACATTTCAGTGTCCTTTTAGTCACCTAAGAGAAACTTTCTCTATGTAAAATCGCCAGTATCTTCTTATGTATGAAGAAAAGCAGAATTTGCTTTGACTTTTGAGTGTTACTGAAGGTCACTTTTACTGGTGAAATAATCAGTACGGTGATACAATAATCCTTTTTTAGCATTGTATCTCATCAGGATTGGTTTTCAGTGCATCCCTACAGCTTTTATTTTTGCAATGTATGACAGATACTATCTTGTCTCTTTTTGTAAAACAGTTAAAGAAAAAAAAAAAAGCACTATTAAAAAATAAAAACACACTACAATTGTTAAGCTAACAAAGTGGTTCTTTTTTGTTCCCTCAGAAAAGAGTGAGGATATTATTTTTATTTTTCTTGGTTTTGGAGTGAGGGATTTAGATGCACCACAGACATGTGAGAGAGGCCGACTGGGAAGAGATTGGCAACTTCTCTCCATTCGTCTACCCTTTCCCCTCCTGTTTTTCAGCTCCATTTCTTCTCCTCCTCCTCTTCAGTCAGTCTAGGTTGGTCGTCGTAGGGTGATGGAGGTCGTTCAACGTCAAAAGAGAAAACAGTCACGATGGGCCCTTCAGCTCTGGGGACATAGAGGTGAAGGCAATCAGCCTGGGTTGGTGTGATGACTCAACATTTGTTACCTACTCGAAATATTTCCTTTGTACTCCACACGCAGACCTCCATCAGTCACTGCCTACCTTCCTAATATTCCTTGATGATGGCTGATGGGTTTATCACCTTCACATGTGGAAGTTTTTATTTCATTGATTTTCTTTTTTGTTGTTGTAAATAACCCACTCTATGCACCCCCACTGTCAATAAAGCACTTTCACCATGAATAATAATAATAATAAAGCGTTACTATTATTATTATTACCTGAGTTCAGTCAATCCTCCTCCTCAGCCAGTTCAGTTTCTTTATGAACCACCACTCTGGTTACAGACATGTCAGGATGTTGCTCTTTGGCCTCCTTAATGGCCTGGGCCAGAGCCTGCAGTACAGAGGGGCAACCACACAGTGGCAGCACCGAGCACAGCAGGCAGTGGGGGAAGTGGAGGAAGGAGAGGAAGGGGGAGGGGGGAAATGGTGGAGTTAAATGAAAAATCAAATAAGAAGCATAAAGAAAATGACAACAATGCTGGATTTACGATCAATGTGCTATTTTACTTCTTTGGGTTAACTGGGGGATAAAGTGGTCGAAGTAAAATGGCCTCAGATGGAGCAGACACATCAAGTGGAAAAAGAAACTTAAAAATAAATCCCATTTCCAACTCAATGTGACACAAATCTGTTGCTCTAATGTAAATCCAGCGAATTGAACAAGACGGGCAACTTAAACGAACCAATGGACGAGGGATTGTGCTTAAAGATCCAGACCAGATCAGGTCTTCAAACAATTATAGACCAGGGTCCATAAATCAAATTTTACAGATCAGTCTTCATGTATATGGACAATGAAAGTTTTTATATTGTTTTTAGAGTGTTCGCACCCATAGTAGTATAACATTTTATATCTACTCTCCCAGTTTAAAAGCAATGCATACGTGATGATGGTTGCAAAGAGGCCTGGCAGAAAGGTCCAGTTCTCTTGATCCCCTAAAATTGGGGGACTAGGAGACTAAAAGTCTGCCAATTTTAGGGGATCAAAGTTAACTGGACCTTTCTTCTGGCCTTCTGAAACTCATCAGGAGGTAAAGATCCTTCAAATATGCACTTTAACCTTGGGTTTACTTTCTCAAATTTAAAATCCAATATGCTTGTGTACAGAACATACAACAAAAAAAGGTCAGTGGCATTGTCCAAGTACAGTTGGACTGCCCTAACTCAGATGTGATATCCTCAGTGTAGCATGTTATATTCATCACATCCAGGGCATCAAAAAGTAGAAATTTGATTTTCTATGGAAATGTGACAATCAAAGACAAAGACGTAAAATTAAGCTAACCAAGACGAGCAACAAAATCAGACACAGCATAGCAAAAACAAAAAAAGATTAAGACATCATTCTCTAGATGTATGGATGAGTAAGTGAAGAGACAGATCTGTAGGGATCTGAGTGGGACTAATAGCATGTGGGCATCTCTAGTAAGTGATTAACAGAACAAATTGTGCATTCAGACTGCGAGCAGCATGATAGACATGTCACCAGACGTCTATTTGTTCCCTTAAGTTTAAGGAACCAGTAAGCGGGGGCTGAATTCAAAATACAAAATGTAGAAAGGTGGAAAATGTTGACTTGTGCAACTGCATTACATGTCTGCAAAATAAGAGTTTGAAAGAACCCAGAACAGAGCAACCCGTCCACCAAGCTACTGAGACACAGAAGGCGAAGGGATAAGCCATGGAAAACTGACCTCATCGTGGTCGATGTCACAGTCGCCAGTAATGACGATGCGTTTCTCAATCCTTGTCTCCGATAGGCCACCTTTTAACGTCTACAAAAGAGATATACAACAACAATGCTTTGATGCCTGTTATAATGGGTTCATTAAACAATCAAGGCCCCAGCAGGGTTCCAGTACGAAGAACTAATACTGCAGTAGGGTATGATACCACAATAGCGGTTGCCATGGCAACCCAATACAGTATATAAACAATAAAATGTGTGATACTAGTACAAATATCATTAAAAAAAAGAAATATGTTTCTGTGTGCACAGACTGTATACATCAATGTGTATGTTAGTTACATTACATTACAACAGTAGGGGGTCGTAATTGGGCCACAAGAAAAGGTCTGTACCTTGGTAATGTGTGTGGTTGTAGTAGTACACAGAGATTCAGAGGTGATTGTCTGAGCAGTCATCAACACTCCAGGTTCGCCATCACCATTACCATCCAACTGATAACAGAGGAGACAAACAGAAATCAAATTAGCTGTACATTACCACGAGAATATCCCCGCTGGCTGGTTGATGTTCTAAATAAACTCTTGTCACCAACTTAGTTCTTTTAATAACGTGATTTAGATAGACTTCCCTGAGGGAGAAGGAATGAATCGCGGCAGCATGCACTGTTGCTAGAAAGGGAGCTTTTTGGAACGAGCTTTCAAACAGACTTTAACACTAACAAGCTAACAACAACAACAACAATGCTACAATCTAATAGTTTCACACAAATACAATATGAATGCTGGACAAAAAAAAACAACAAAAGCTCCCTGTGTTTGTGTGCACCTGTGCGGCTTCGTATGTGATGGTCTTGGTTTCCGTATGTACGATGGGCACTTCTTTTGTGGCTATCTCAGTTTTCTGGGCTGCAAACGTGTCTGATATAGTCACCATTTCTGTCTTTACCACAGGTGGCTGGGGAGGGAGGAGAGAGAGAAGTGAGGGGAAGGAAAGAGGGTTAATACATTAAAACAGAAACAGTTAGGGGAAAAATAAAGAAACATGTTGGTATCTATGCACTAGCTTTGGAAAAACACTTCAAAATTAATATTTTAATGTGTAAAAAATGTGTATAAAATATAAAATGTGCTTAATTATTATTAAATTAATGGCAATAACATAAGAATGTGTTGTACTGAAAGAGAAGTGATGCGGTTGTCGCACACACAGTGGTACACATAGCAGCAGTTGAAGATGTATAAACACAATATGTGCAGCAAAGAAATCAAAGATCTTCCAAACTCATGCGACAAAACGCAAAACATCACAACGACTACTTTCAGCAACGTACAAGCAACAGCTACGACAGCGACACAGCTACGAAACCACTTTGGTGTCAACGTGCAAGTACGACAAAGTACGACAAAGTACGACACAGCACGAAAACATGCATAACACACGAGCCAATAAAACAAGCGATGCTCAAATGACTCGCGAACAAAATGGCAGATGATAGGTAAACAACATGCAAAGATGACATTCAGATGAGCGGCTGGCATTTCCAAAGTGGTTGGCAATGATGATTTCCAAAATGCTGTTACCATGGTGACCAGGACATGCCAATTGAATGCTAACGGAGAGAGAAGCATCACTGCCAAACACATGGAGGACACACGAACACACAAACTCACACACCGAAAGGTGAGATATGGCATGCAGAGCAAAAAAACAAATATACACCTAAAAGCATCATGCATTTTCCACTTAGGCCCCATTTACTTCACAACACTACAATACAGAGAGGAGGTAGTAACAGCAACACACCACGCTATGTGGGGCAGGAGTGAACTAGGCATACTGATAATGGTATGAAGTATGATAGCATATAGCACATACATTAACAGATATGAATATGGTGAAAAATTAAAATAAAGACTGAAATGAATTATATATATGGATGGTAATTTGACACCAACACCAAAACACTGTGGCGGTGAATTGTCTCACTGAAGGTCTCATTTTAGGTTTAGCTTTCATTTTAAGCTTGAAAGGAGTGTTCATAGGAGAAAGATGAGTGTGAGGATGTACATGGGGCTTAATTATTCACGCAAGCAGGAAGGAAACCGGCACTGTGGTAAGCAGGAAGGAAAAAAAGTGGGTGTTTCTACAGTTGGCGGGAAGGATCAAAGCCCAGGGAAGCTCCGCAGTCGGCCCAGTGAAGACTTTACCTCAGAGCAACAAATAACCTGCGGCCGTGGTTCTGCTTCAACCAAAGAGGCCTCTCCGTTCATTTTAGGCTCTTCCTCTTCAGGGGGAGCCACAGCAGTCACGCTTTCCTCAGGCAGGGTGAAACCGTTAGGAGCTTCATCGGGTGTTATCATCGGATCATCTGTGCTTTCCTCCGTCTCCCTTTCGCCATCATTCTCCTCCTCTGCGTTCTTCTTCTCTGCCCCTGCATCCTCTTTCCTAGACTCCTCTCCCTCTTGAATGGTTGCCTCTACGGGTTGGCTGATTTCAGCTGGAAGAGAAGGAGCTTCTGGAGCAGGCATGTCATGCTCCACCGTATTATCCTCTTCTTTCTTTTCCTTCTCTTCATCTTCTTCTTTCTCTTCTGGTATTTGAGTGTGAGAGATGGATACGGAGACATTTGGATGGTACTCCGCTTCTTCTTCACTCTCACTCTCAGATGAGATGCTCTCCTGCTTTGCTGCTTTTGCTTCCTCTGCCACCTCTACTTTCTCTTCGACTTTCACTTCCTGCTCCCTTGTTTCCTGCTCTTCAGGGGAGCTGATTGTAACTGTGACAAGTCCAGGTTTGGGTGCTTTGGAAACCTCTTGGACGACAACGGTTTCTTCAATTTCAACTTCGGTTGTCTATATACACACGCACATACACACGCACGCATGTACACATAGTGCACAGACACACACGATGAGGTGCACACACATACACAACAAACGCATGGGGACAAAAAAAAAGCATAACATGATCATTGAACATAAATAAAGAAATCAAACTACCTTAAATGAAAATAAATGAATACACGACACAAATCTGGAATAAAAAGATGAAGATGTTCAGCTGAGAGGCACAACGATGTATTTAAGTGGAACAACTAGAAAGACAGACAAATGAATAGTCAAAGAACAGAGGCCTGTAAAGCACAGGAAGCTGGAGGGACGAAGGAAACAATGAATGAAAAGCGTCATGAATTGAAGATCTGGATGGATTAACAGAAGGATGTTAGGACCACCTTTGCAGGTTCTTTGGTATCAGAGATCGCGTTATCATCGGCGGCTGCTTCTGTCTGGGGCTCATTCACCTGCGTAACAGAGAAGTTACCATGACAATCATCAATCACACACCAGCAGTGACATCATGATTATTTGCACTTAATGACACCGTAGCGTTATTGTGATGCTTGTTACCACGGCACAAGGGAAAGGGTTAAATTTGTTACTTGTTTTTTTTCTCCCTGTCTCTGTCCCTAGTGGACTGTCTTTCATGCACAATCATTTCCATTCAGCATCCAGTTAACTGCAGCAGGCAGTAATAGAGATGGGATGAAAGAGTTGAAAGAAGAATAGAAAATGAAAAAAATCCATGGAAGATGGATTCAAGAAAATACCATATCAATGAACATGGAGGCGTATCTTTGTCTTTTGAAATAAAAAGACAAAAGAAGCGTGGTACTAAAGTCAGCAGTTTCTTTGAATTGTTGACCACATAAAACATAGCATAGCATAATGAATTTAGCCCAATGTCCAGACGTAAAAGCTTATGTAACAAAGTCAACACATTATGGATTTCCTTGGTCGTTCTGAACTGTGACGCAAACTGCTGCTTTAATACTTGCTGCTTTTTAAAGGGCAGACCGTTACATTTGCATTCAAATCCACACACACGTTTACCATCACAAAACAAACAGATTATATCTGTGGCATTCACAGCTGTTAGTTGTTTTTAGATTAGATTTACCATTGCCATCATTCAGGATGAATGCTCCCTGATACAAAACGATTACTACCATTCATCCAGCTTCCACAGCAGGCATTATGGACAGCTCGCATCGCTTCAGTGTAGTTTAAAAACACATCTGACAAGCATCTTTAATTAAGTGAGGCATTGCAGGATGTAATGCTCTGTTAATTAAAGATGACCTCTTGCCCAGGTCATCATTGTAAATGAGAATTGATTCTCAATTGACTTATCTGGTTAAAGAAAGGTAACATAAAAATAAATGTCAGTTTACTTTCAAGTCGACCAACTTATAGAGAGACAAACTCTCTACAGAAAGTTCCCTGTATTCTGTATTTATTGGGTAACAGCACTGGTTACTCAATAAATCTGCAGATGCAAATTGGAATTGAAAGTGAACTGACACCTAAATCAGTAGTAGTAGCAGCACCTCAGTTGCAGAGAGAGTAGCAGTTGAGGAAATAAGGAGCCCATGCGGTACAGCAGAACTGCAGACAGCAGTGGAAGTAGAGGAGCATGTGGTTATAACAGCATCTAGTGTTGGTTCAGGAATACTGCAGGCAAACGTAGCAGCCGAACAAAAGCCAGTGCCAGAGTGTCTACTGAAAAGTACAGAAGCTATCTCCTCTTCAAGGCTCTACAGCAACACACAGACACACAGAGAACCCAGGACACAGAGAAGAAGAGAAAAGATGGGAACAGTTGAGAGAAGACGGAGAGAAAATAATTCCCTCAAAGAACAAAACACAGCGTTGACACATAAAAACAAACACATACAGAGGAAGTGTAGCACAAATTAAATGAAGAACAGTCCTTATTTGCATCTCCACCTCCTGTAATGATTATTTTAACATAATGAAACAGATTTGTTTAGGAGATCAGAAACCAACAAAATATTGCATGCGTAGACCAAATAAAACCCTTCTGCTGCAGAAAACTGTACACGATGTAAAATGTGATGTGAGTCCAGCTGAAAGGGGATTAAGAATTGGAGCAGAGAAACACAGACAACCCCATGCAGTCCATCAAATGATGAGGGAGCTAAACACAACAGGCCAGGAAAACCCCACCATGGCAAAAGCATCACATGAAATTGTCCACGTAAGAGTAAGAGAGGAGTTTGAGTTTTAAATCAGGTGCACACACGTGATGACTTGCTACTACAAACACATTGTTGTTTCTGCAGCAAATTGTATAAAACAGTTTTTAAGCACTGCAATTATCTGCATAGAGGGCATTTCACCTGAACAATGTTTGTAAGTAAAATCCCCCGTAATTCAACTTTCTTTTTTCAAGTTGCTGACACAGAAACATCCAGGCAGACATACCACTTGTTGCTGTTGAATACGTATCGTTGTAGCGGGAGAGGAGGTGAGACGTTTCTCCCACTGGTTGGGCTGAGGAGGAGAGGGAGGTGGCGCCTCCATAAAGGAGCGTTTTAGCTGGCTAATGCTAGCTTGATGTTTCAGAACTTCTTCTTGGGTCTTATCATGGTCCTATTGAGGGAGTGGAGGGGAGAGGAGAGGAAGGGAACAACGGGGAGGATGGGGTGGAGAGTAAATGAGATAAGTATGGATAGATGAGGGATGATGGGTGGTAGGGACAAGAGGGGTGGGGTAAAAATGTGGAGGTGGAAATGGCAAGAAGGTAGAAACATGGTAGAAGAAAGAACAAGAAAAAGGTAGGAGGAAGAAAAATGAAGGATTGATAAAAGAGAAGTTAAGAGGGATAACAGATAGAGAAATGTAATGGGAAAAAGAATAAGGAAAAGAGGAGGAATGAAGGGAAGGTAAGAGGGAAGGTGGGAGGATAAAAGGAGAAATGGGTGGGGAGGCAGGGGAAAAATTCTGTTCAGCAGGTCATAGGAACATTAGTCTGTCAATCAGGAGGAAGACAAGATGGATGCCATGTCTCACTGGAGCCTCATTCAAAAGGTCTGGAATCTCAAATTTGGCATTTGGTCCAAGCATGCGTGCGTGTTTGCGTTTGTGTGTGTGTGTGTGTGTGTTTGTGTGTGTGTAAGAGAGACAGAGAGAGAGTGAGAGTATTTTTGTGTTTTTAAGCAGGCTGCAGTGAAATATGGCCTTTCCATTTTGTTGAGGAGTTTTCCTTAAACCAGGCCAGGAACAGCAGTGCAGACTGCAGAACATGGAGCTGATAGTGGTGATCACACTTTCTGTCTTTTTCTTTCCCATTTTATCAGTCTGTCTTTCCATTTCAACTCCACCTATCTTTGTTACAATTACGCTATGTAGACTACTGTAATGCTACAGGTAATAGCTGGCAATGCATCACTATCAGTCCCACGTTGCATAAAAAAAGATGTGTTTTAGTATGTTATCAAACCACGCATCACTTGACGCTGGCAGCCAATCACCAGAAAACAGGAAGAAAGCTCCTTGTGTGGGTTAGGGAGGCAGGATTAGTCAGGTTAAACGCAGCTGCCTGGCAATAATCAAACTTTGATAAATCAAGGATTGGAAACGTAACAACGTAAAAAAGGTCACAAATCAGCAGTCAACATGCACAGAGCATGCATAAAAGTCACGTTCACATACCACTGACCCTATTCACAAAGCAGCCATTGTGAACACTCTGGGAAATTTCCTGGAAGAGAAAGTCTCTACTGTACTGCTGTGCAGCAAGATACACATCAAATAAATATTTTGCATTTCATAGTTCCAGCACTGACATCTTAGATCCCTTCTGGTACACTCACTTTGGATTTGATCTGGGAAACACTGTTTATATGTGTAACCTCCAGTTAACATTCCTTATCATGCTCAGTTAAAGCAGTCTGTCATTCCTAGGGTTGCTGCTGATCAACTATAAGTGTAGCAGACCTTCTTATTAATGTGTTTTTTTGTTCTAATATTATTTTTTGTAACTATTTTAGGGAAATACCTGGATGTTTATCTAAATGCTCGTCTCTGCTGGTTGCCACCTTTGCATTCTGTCTGCAGTTTGGTGCTGGACAGGTAGCGTACAGTGCGTTTATCAAAGCTTTGTTGCTGAAAAGCTGGAATTTAGGCTGAAAAAAATGAATAAAAACAGTAAAGTTGCAACCAAACCAAAACAATCAGCTGAAAGAGGCTAAAACGCTCTGTAGAACAGAGAGGAATCAGTTGATAATTGACTGCGAGCAAATTTAAAATTGTCCATGCTCATTTGATTAACTGTTGATATATAGGTAAGTACAGCTTTAATTAACATTTATGACAATGTTCTCAGTCAAGCTTCCTAGCCCATGTGTTCAAAATGGCTGCCATGTGAATTGGGACAATTAGCACTGAAACCATTTAATACCACAACATTTTCAATCATACTGTAGTTACTAAGGAAAAACTGGAAATAGCTGGAATTGAGTGTTGACTGAAACATCCACACACATAAACACACACAGGCATGCACACAGAGCCTGAGAGTGCGAGAGGGCAGCAGTCTTGTACAGTACGGTACAGAGGAAGTTGTAGTTCTGATGGCGTCAAGAGTACACAGAAACATGTAGTTCTTATTTTCAGCCATCAGACGACGCCAGTACCAACCTCCAACATTAAATTACTGTGCCTCACATAAATATTGTCCCCATGCACTCTCATTGGACTCTGTAAGGCAGACATACAGCAAAAAATGAAATGGAAAAAATGTATTAAAAAAATAGAACTTAAAAAAAAAGTACTTTATTTTAACTCTACAAAAGAAATATAATAACCATCTTATGAAATAAATCATAATCAAATAAATAAATAAATAAATAGAATAAAACACAGGCATGTGGTGACACGGCCAAAATGTCTCAAACTGTGATGAAGGCCTGAAGATGGGTACAAGCACAGATTAAAAACATTCTGGTATTTCTCATTGAATGTACTGATGCTAGCACTCGTACCCATGTTAACATATACAAAATTCAAAGCATTCAAAACATCACAGCACCAGCAGACGCTTACACAAACCAACAAACCCCAGTGTGCTTTCAGCGAAACCCAGAAATAATGATGAACCACAGATATGAACCAGAAACCAAACTGAAACTGTGAAACCATAAACCACAGCAGAGCAACCAAAAGTGACGATTAGAGGTGAAAGTGCCCATTCAGGATCAGTTTTTACACTCAGGCCCAATCTGAAAAGAAAGGGTATAATCGGAGACAAATTTATAACTAAATACCATAAATTGTTTATAATGTAAATATTCAGATTGTTCTGTTCTTACAAATTCCAGATTGGGTCTGTAGTAGCTGAGAAACTCAAAAACTGACTCTGTATCATGCTAGGGCATCTTCACCCTAAAAGAGTGAACCAAACCAACAAACCAGCCAACACGGGCAGAGCAAATTTATTAACAGACCAAATACACAAATCAAATAACCAATAACAGTGTATGAACCTGAGAGGGGGCAAGCTCACTGGCTCCGAGAGACTGTTGATTGGGTAAAGTTAGGGAGAAAAGGTAAGGACAGGTTAGGTTTACTGCTCCACTGCACCCTAAAACCATTTCCATCCAATATCCAAAACCATATTCACACTAGTTCTTAGCAAAGTAATATCATTTATTACTAGAATTTACAAAGCATGCTGGGTAAAGACAGGCCCTACAGACCTGGGTGGGCGTGACTTCCGCATCACCAGGGCTTAAGTCCGCCTCCTTAACCTTCAGTGTCGTAGTCATAGCGATGGCAGTCATGACAAAAATGAGGAGGGTAGGGCACGAAGAAAGAAAAATGTGAAATGGATGATGGGAAAAGCTACGTTCTTCCCCAGCAACCTTGGTGTCAGGGAGTACTGCTGGTCATGTGACCTTTTGCACCAAACCCACAGAAGTAGTAACATAAAAGGAGTTTCAGATGGTCAATAAAGGGAAACAGCAGGTGCTACTGCCTGCTCTCGTCCTAACTTATATGATACACATACATTTACTGACAAATCTATAACACTGTGTTTAAAATGTGTCCAAAGCTGAGTAGATTCACTGTATTTACAACCAATAAAATAACTACTATAGTTCCTGTGTAGGTTTTTAGGACATAAATGTTAATTTTTTATTAAAATAGAGGCCAGCTTTTACTTTATTAGACTCATAGGCTCTGGTAATGAGCAGAATACGTCAGTATACTTTCCAGTCAGTCTTTTAATCCCATATCTGTTCCATCTGCATCCACAGCTTCCATTCATTCAAGAAAATGCTAAATGGCCACTGCTTTGACTTAAAACAAAAAAATTAAGGGACAGGGGTTGAGGAGAGAGTCCTTAGGCTCAGGGATCAGGGTAAGTGTAACACTGTTTACTCTTAACATTCATTAGCAATTATACCCAAACAAATGCGCTTTAAGTGCTATAGGGTTGAAGGGGTTACTTCATCAATCCTGGTTATTTATCTGTATGTACAGTTTCAACAGCTAATCTACAACTCATCTTTCAGTGCCAACCTTTCTCTGCACTACAAAGGCAAAATGCAACAACTAAAAACTAAATGTGTTTATTGCTTCAGTGCTTATTCCTCTTACATAATATGAATGTATACCATTCTGTCGCTTTATTTGATGAGTGTTAAACACAGAGCATGGAGGTAATTCCTTTTTGAGCATGGCAACTAACAATTTTAAGAATTCAAAGAACTCTTAAAATGTGTTCTGCACATAAATAAATGTTACTGTATTTTGCCATTGTACTGTAAGTTAAATCATGCAACTCTCTCCTTCCCTAACAGTCACTGTACAATACTTAAATCTCTTAAAATAGCTATATTTTCTCTATATTAACAATAATTTTCTCTATTTTAACATTGTTTATCACTTACCAACTCTGGGTTTAAATACTTTGTTTAATCTTACTTATACTAATCTTTGCTCATTATTATAAACAATACAGGGTGCAGGGATGGTAAGAAAAAAGAAAATATTAGGGAAAGAGGTGGTGGAGGTCAGGGGTGAATGTACAGACATACAGTTCACACATTCAAACACAGTGGTCATAAGAAGGAGTGGAAGGGGTTTTGTAGGGTGTGCTGTGTGATTTATGCAGCAGGGTCGCACATCTCTTGCATCCAGGTAGCATTCGTGTGAGTGTGGTGCCTGACGCGTGGGGGTGTGTGTGTTGGTGTGAGAGGAGAAGCCTGCTTGTGAAAACCAGAGCTTAACTGATCCTCAGACTGCTCTTGTGGCGTTTCTGTGACAAACACTGGCAAAACTGCCAACTTCCGTTGACTAGAAACCACATTCTCGAGGTAGCACAGGGTCAGGCCAAGGGGTGTGGCTAAAATCAGTGCCAAGACCAAGGACTGACTCGCTGTCAGCATCACAACCAATAGGAAAACAACTAACAGGCAGGGCAGGAACAGTGGGGAGGGATTTAGAAGGTAGCGATGTACAGCTGGGGTTAGGTTAGAGCGAGATAAGGAGGAGAGAGTTGGGAGAAAGGAAGGTTGGACAAAAAAGAAATAAGAGGGCAGAGAAGAGAGAGTGGGGAGGGAGGAAAAGGGAGAGACGATAGAAGGACAGGTAAGAGAGAAAATGGAGGGCAAATGTAGCCGTGTTGGGTGGCAAAGAACAGCAGGAACCAAACTAATGCATTTATTAGGCAGATAGCTAGTAATAAATGCCACAAAACGATTCCATTTTAATGCCAAAGTGGGAAGAATTTGATGTAATCTGGACGTCATACTGGTAGTGACACATTTGGGGGCGCTGACAGGGAAAATCTTTAATTTCCCCACTGACTTGTCAGTAAGCTTGGACACAGTGGGAGTGAAAAAGCTCAGTTTCTTTGTTAATCCTGAAAACAGCTTCATGGGCAGACACCTGTTTCCATTCTTCCCCATTAGGGAGAGAAAACACAGGATGAAAGAGACACATTTAACCACACCCCTTAGAGAGAACCAGCTACACCATTTTGGTATTCCAGCTGTCGCTCTGGTTTTAGCCTGATAGCCCTCCTCAACTCCCAAAAGCTCTGAACTGTACGTTTGGGGGCTCGTCATTGGGTAAGAGGCCAGGGGGTTTTGCGCGAGGTGCTCAAGGTCGACCAGGTGCTGATCAGAGAAAGGAGAGGAGGCGTTTGAGGGGAGGGTCCATGTGGTGTGTGAGGCGGCTGTGTTGTCGATAAGGTCGTCGTCTTCGGAAATGTCTGACAGGCCGTGGTCGAGCTCGGAGATAGAATCGAGGGAAGGGGGAATAGAGGAGAGTGAAGATGATGAGGAAAAGGAGAGAGGAAACATGAAGATTGACTGATGGGGTTGGGTTTCAGGAGAGTACACACGAACACACACGCAGGGGAAGAGGGGAAAAAAAGGAGGAAAAGAAGGACACCGAAAGATAAAAGAGAAAACAAAAAAAGTTGACAGCGAGAGATGGAGTGTGTGGGAAAAGAAAGGAGACCCGTGTGCATACATCCACAAAGTGTGGGAGCAAGCAGTGAAGAAATAAGTTAAACATAAAACCAAAACCACCGACACAATGAGCATTTCATTTTTATGAAATGATCACATCAATGAGAACATGCAAGAGGGGAGTGATAAAAGCAAAAAAAAAGGGGGGAGCGTGTAAAGGAGAAAAGAGAGAGGGAAAGAGACATAACATTAGTCAGTGAACAACACACCAAGATAGGTTAAAAGTGAACATAGCAGGGTTGTGCAGAGTACCGCTGTGCGCAGAAACAGTGTCAACAGGGGGTCACTACTGAGTGAAGGCTAAGACGGGGGTCAGTTCCACAGCGCTGGGGTGTGAGCGACAGTTGGGAAAGGGGCAAGTGAGGAGAGGAGGGTGGTGGGAAAGGGAGGCATGCATAACATACAGCAAAACTCTATATATACACACTCCAGTAACAAGCACAGACTGGCCCAGGGTGCAGTCCCACCAGTGGGCATGGATCCTTGCTACGGTACAGAACACTCAGCAGAGGCATGTCAGGAGATGTTGAACCGTGTACACCTGCCTGGCTACCAATGATAGCTGCTCTAAAGGCCAGCTGCTGCAGTAAATGTTAACTGTTTCTCTGTCAGTCTTGTTGGGTCTGTGTACCTCTCTCACTCTAACACATATTCACAGCTTAAAGGGTGCAAAAAGTGTGGCTTCCTCCTGGTCCTAGAGGAAGCAAAGTTAAGTATCTAAATGATCCTATGGAACAGAAATTGCATTAGCATATCCACACCTACAGGTGATTTTAAGTATCGGTAGTATCCAGACAAAAGCACTGTGACCCTCTGAAACACCCCATGCGTGGTACCATAGTAGCATAAAAGGCTTATGACTATATATAGTCATAAAGTATAATTTCACTTCTGTTTTCAATTCTTGCTCCGTCACTGCCTAGTGGTCCTGGACTAGGCCACAGTAATACTGCTGCATGGTTCCTCCTTATAATATTAGTACACCAACCCAGGAAAAATGCATGTTGTTATCATGAATAAAATATTGAATACTACACACACTAAGGACTCATGAACGCAAAAAAACAACAACGTATAGATACTTAGATAATCTTAGATACAGCATATAGATACTATGCACACAAAAAATGTCACAGCTAGAAAAAAAAATGATTTCTATCACCCATGTACATAATGTCTTTCTCTATGATACATAAACATATAAACAAACAGCTCCAAACAAAGACAGAATGGACTCACCTTAGAGTCAGAGTGGAGCTCACGTCCGTTCTCAGCTGTATCCCTGCCGGCCTCAGTTATGCTGATCACTGGTGCTGAGGAGAGAGAAACACAAAAAAACACAATAAAAGTCTTCCACTGACAACTACTGTACTGTGTTTTTTTTCCATGGACATAAAACACTACATGAGGATCAGAGCTGACTCTTAATTATAACTACTTTAGGCAGGACATAAATGTTGTAGCTATTAATGTCATTTCAACTTCTCACACACTATGTTTTGGTCTTGTAATAAAGAAAAAGTGTAGTATAGTAAAAAAAAAAGAAAAAAAAGACTTAATTTGAGGTAAAGACTGCAATAAGTTAAAAAGGATGCTGGCTTGCAGTGGAATAATGTGTCCAGCAGGGGACAATGTAAGATGGTAGAATAACCTGACACATGCCAAACAGTGCACAGCTGCATGAGGTGGGATCCGGAAAACCACAAGAAAACGGTGTGTACTGTCTTCCAGAGACAATAAAACATGTATTTGATGTAAAAATGGCTGATTGGTTATATAGAATTTAGGAAGATATTAGTTATTAAGTTAAATTATTAAAGGTGACGACACCTCAGTAATTTCAGAATTTTGTGCTGCCTGTAATGAAAGAAAGAATATAAGAATTTGGTGATCTGTGCTTCAGTTTTCCGTTTTGTTTGACTGACATGAGAGTGACTATATACTGTATCTACAGGCTGTATCTCTTTCATTGTGAGGGCTGTTTTTGCTTTTAGATACACATTTCTACACATCTTTCCATCTCTTTCTTTCTCCTTCTCTGTCTCTTACTGTGTGACAGGAAACATATGCTCCAGCTATTTCCTGTATCTGGTCAGGCACTAGCTTTTTTACACACACAGAAACATAAACACAACCACAGGCAAACCCCAATCCATGACCCCACTTCCATCTGCCCATCATTTCTTCCACTCCTCTTTTTTATCTGTCCATTCATTAAATATTGTTTAGAGAGAGCAGGAACGTCATCTTTCTGTGTTCCTTTGTCAGTGTGTTACCTCCATCCAGACTGCGGCTGATACGTTTGGACGAGGTGCGTTCAAAGTTGGGTGCAGGTCGGTCTATGAGGGAGCTGGCCACACGGGTCTGGGCCTGGGTTCGCCCGCTGTAACGGAACTTAGAGCCCAGAGTCAAGAAGCGGGCCTTGGTGGGAGGTTCTGGTGCGTTTAACCTAGAGAAAAGAGATACCGGGAGTGAGTGAGGGAAAGAATGGGGAAAATGGGGGAGCATGAATTTGAAACCTTATTCAGAGAGATTTACTTTGCAATAAAATTTAACAGTCACAACTATATGTGCATGTGTAAGGGGGGCAAAAATGTTTCCAAGCAACTCTTCCCTCAACAGGATATTAAAGCTTATTCTCTTATACACACACAGACATACAAACATGCACCCACAGCACACACTACAAAACCAAAAATGATGGGCACCTGGTTCATCTTTGTGTATGTGTGCGTGTATGCATTGCCCCGGGCATCAGACTGGTTAAACAACCACAAGATACACTCTCTCGACTTATTATCTGGACAGATAGCCAGCTTTTTGTTGAGCCTGATAAAGCACACATTTTTTCATTGAACGTTATCCAACAAGCTGTTTCGATTCCCCTAAACTCCAGACTGGATAACCTCTAAAATCTACGTGCACACACAGTAAATGTGCTTCATAGTGTGTATTTGAATTTGTGCATTTCTACCTGAAGAAACTGTGATTCTCCACACAGACTTTCCACAGTCTTTTGGCAGATCGATGATTCTGGAGTTTGAATCCCACTGTGCTCTCAAACTGCTCCGTCTATCAAAGATACACAAAAGCAAGAAGAAATTTAGACGTTTTGACCACCACAGAAGAAAGATCGAAAACAGTATGTTATGATGAGTACTCGGTCATGTTAACACTATAAAGAATCATTTTATTTGTTTGTATCTTTGGCATAGGACAAAGTAAATCTCTCTTAAATCTCTTTTATAGCCTGTGTGTGTGCATGTGTGGGGGTACGTACCTCTCCTGGTCGGATCTTAATGTAGAAGTTGTTCCTTTTGTATGAAATCTTGAGTATTTTGGGCCAAGCAAAACGATTTATCCGGAGTCTGTCTTTGTAAACCAGGAGTCCGTTGGCACACACACCTAGCATGATGTCCACGCCCTCAGAATCCTGAAACAGTCAAATTCAAATGTGTACAAAACACATTTTATTAGGAAAATCGTGAATTAATCTCTGTGAAACATCTGTATATGCTACCTGTTTGTCTAAATCAGATCATACAGTGCATTAATGGATTTCTAAAGTAGTCTGCTAAAGGTAAACAACAAACCGTTAAAAAAAACACTCTAACATGGTTAGCCGACAGACTAACTCACACAAAGCTTTTAAGTCCAAGGCCATCTGGTAATGGTGAGGGAGGGTATTGATCACAGTAGCAAATTAACAGGAAAAATCGGTTGGACTAATGGAAGGTGCAATATATTGATAACGGACAGTTTTACTAGGACACACAAACATGGCCTTGCTCCACTACCAGCTGGTCATCGATCTCTGTGCTCCTAGTAGAGATACACTTTAGCACTTTGGCTTGGATGTAGTGCGCAAAATGGATGCTGTAGGAAAACAATTTCCCATTTGCTTTTAGTGGTTTCTGTAAGTAAACAATGAAACTTCAGTGACTGCAGCAAGAAGACAACTCTGGAAGAGTGAGTCTCAATTATGAAAGTAATGCCAGACAACTGAACACAGAATGAAAGATGGCAGCTATGGTGCAACAGTCCAGGTTGAATATATTTTTGCAATTTGCGTTTTCAATGCTCCTACTGTGTTGTCTATAGTTGTCTAGTACTGACTATTCAAGCTCAAATTTAATTCTCAGCAGACCAGTGCAAGTTAATGACACGACAACTGTTACATTATGCAGTACTGCCTTGTTATTCCAGATACTTTGACACAGTAACTCTGTTTTTGTTGCTAAAAGAAATGTATTTCTTGCTTGTAACTCTGCTATCTCTAGACACAAGACACTTTACCCAACACCAGATTCGATTCTCTCTAGAGAAACTTTAGTTTTTATTTTTGTATACAATTTTTTATTGCAAGTTCTGTGTGTCCTTACTTCTATTTTACTCTAGAGTATAGAGTATCTAGTAGTTTTTAGTGAGACTTTTTATGCCTCATTTTGTTTTTTAAAGCTACTTATCTTCACTATGTATCTGTTCGTGTGCTTCTGCTGCAGTGACAAATAAAGTTTATCTTATCTTATAATGACAATTTTCTACATTGCCTTGCTCCTAATCCAGTGCTGGGATGGATGGATTTCTCCCTAAAGTATTGTTTAATGCCAGTGCTAAATGGTGACTCCAGAATTATGTCAACTGTTTAGTGTGTGACAGTGAGCAAGCATGAACAAGACCAGGAACCTGAAACTGAAGCCTCTAAAAGAAATTCAGCCATCTTTAATATTATCATATTTTATTATTTACACCTGTTTTCTTACTCCGACATGTCAAGATGGTCTATTAACACTAAAACATCCTGGTAATAAAACACCGTTGTGTCCCAAAATGATGATGATGAATAGGTGTGGCCTGTCTGCTGGTAATAACAAATACACCAGTAAAACCAATATTGCCCTATAAAACCCTTGCATTTGACCAATCTTTGTGGGTGAAATATACATTTTATTATGAAATGTCTTTTTTTGAAATTTATAATCAGGTAATTCAAAAATTTAAAGTTGTTAAAATCTATCAAATTGTATTTTTATTAAACATAAAAAGTGCCTTTGTGTCTGTTTAAAGGGATTCTGATCCTTTGACATATTGTATGTATTTGAAAAAGTTTCCTTTTTGGGCCTTGGGGTCTTGAAACTTTAATGGCACAGGACAGAAATAGATCTGCCCCTTGAATTCCCACAACTTTGGTATGCCATAAAAAGATTTTCAACATTTTGAAACGCTCTCTCTGCTGCTCTCATCTTTCCCCTGCTTCTCTCGCTCTATGTTGCAAACAAGTAGAGCGTGCCCTTAAAGGGGTCTCGCCTCTTTCTCTCTTTCAAGGATCTGTCCCCATCTAACTCTAACCTTATGTCTGTTCGTTATGTCTTTGTCCTCTATATATCCTCATTGCACATCCTCTCTTTCTATTTTCAGACTCTCTCTTTCATGCATATTTCCCTCATTCTTCCTCCCCGGCTTGCACAAAGGCACACAAACATACTCAGACACACATGGAAAAATGCACGCAGTCTGCTGATGACCTGCTATCCCAGTGAGAGAGACAGGCTGTTCCCATGGCAATGGCCTCCCTGAGTGTTTGTACAGCTGACACACACACACACACACACACACACACAGAAAGACAGTGACACAAACATGCAGACACACCGACACACTCTTCCCACATCAAAGAAGCTGTGCTAATCACCTGATGTCAACAACAATGGGGAGTAGAGGAGAAAAGGGGAAACAGAGAGGATTCATTCATTTATTCATACCTTAGCATGGTGCAGGTCCACCCCATACATGGACAGTTTCTTGGCATTTTCTAGAAACTGGGTGTCGGCCTGTGCTGGTGTCATTCCCCTAAACACACAGTTACACACATACTGTAAGCAAGCATATCTACAGCTTTTAATGGCAAGAAAAAGACATACATATTTGTCCCTGACTACTTTAGACTACATGGCCTTCTTCTCTCTGACCTGTGAGACTTGTGGAGTTCAAGAATCTTCTCCTCCATCTCTTTGTTCTGATTCGGCGCAAAGGTCCGCTGACTAATGTAGTCATGAGGCCGAGGCTGGTCGGGTTCATAGTCGCCAAATTCTGCCTGTAAAGCAAAAGGATGCAGCCCATTCATATATACTGATACACAGAGACACATAAGCGGGCCACATCTGGAAACCTGAACACCACACAAGCACAGGCATTAGGACATATCTACACATAGTGTATTCTACCTGCAGTGTGTATGACCCCAGCAGAGCGTGAGTAACAAATGAGCAGGGCAGTCGTCCAGAAGCCACATCTTCACGAAGCTGCAGACACAACAGGTACCTACAGGAGAGATAAAAGGGCAACAGGCTGGGTTTTAGGGTAAAAAAAAAAAAAAAAACTTGTTCTAAGCCTTCCTTTGAATTGGAACTGGCTCCATTGTTCATGATAATAATGAAGCGATCCCAGAAGCCAAGTTGCCTTTCCTCCTGTGAGGCACAAGCACAGGGTCAGCTGGTGTGGATTACATGTCTTTGTTGATGCTGTGTTTGTTGTATAATTTCCTTAGTATGCTGGTACACTGGTTTGCTGGGATAACCTTATGTCTAATCCTTACCATGACATACCCAGACTCAGTTGCATAACTTGTGCATCCACTGCCCAGTGGTTGTGCGGATTTAAGGCAGTGTATGCTGTCCTCTGCAGTGAACGTTTATGGAAGGATTCATTATGTGAATAGAGCTTCTGTGTGGATGAGTAATTCGGACACCTCAGGGTGCTAGGAAATGTATCATCCTGACAACTGAAAAATATCATTCAAAGTCACTTTAGTGGGACAGTTGCTGACATGGAGAATTAAACCCCAGTCATCCAGTTAAAGAGCTTCTCGTCATTGGTAAAATATATTGACCCAGGACAAGATGAAGAAATCTGCATTTAATGTGTCTATTGAAAGTTAACAAAAGATATACAGGCTAAATTTAGACACCTATAGTGTTGGAGAAGAAATTGCAGTTCCTGTCGCCACTAAATGCAGGTCAGTTGTTGGTGCTGGTCTAAGTGGGTGTATGCGTGTTAATGAGTGTGTGTGTGCGTTTGTGTCCTCGATTAGCCTTTAGCTTCAGTACAACCATCAGAGAAGTTGTTCGCTCCATTAGACATACACTCCAACCTAAATGCTGTGTGCTTGGACCATGCCTGTGTGTGTGTGTGTGTGTGTGCATATGTACAGATATAAATGACTTAAAAATATGCACAAACCCAACTTGTGTCTTTGTTACTTTGCTGTGTATTGTACTCCTTAGACATGTAAATCTATATTTCTGCAATTTCCCACAGTTCTACAGAGCCTTTTAGCCTCTTTCACCTCATTAATTTGGTTTTAAAGCCTCCAACATTAATGTTTCACTCTCACTGATTTTATCAACCCTGTTTCCAGCAGCAGTCAATTGTTTTTTTCAGCAAAAAAAAAAAAAAAGCTCTGATAAACTGACAATACCTGCCAAGCACCACGCAGCAAACAACACTGGCAACTAGGTAATGAACATAGTGGAGCATTTAGCTGAAAAGACAGATGTTTTTCCTCAGGGAGAGAAAGTCTTAGAGAAGGCCAAAAAAAGCAACAAGAAAGAGTCAATACTGGACTATATTCATCAGGTGAATATAAGTCCAGTATTAATGCAGGTTTAGGTAAACACTGGTACATCTCTAACATGGTACATCTGTGTGTGTATCTGTGTGTATGTGTCTGTGTGTGTGTGTACCTGGTAATGTCTTCGGTGAGCAGTGAGGGGTCTGGAGGGTAGAACTTGACATTGAATGCAAACTGCCAGTTGTTACCTGAGAAAGAGATTCACAGCACAATGACATTACATATGTTTAATAAGTACAGGGCAGTATGCATATATTTGAACCAGAAGAACTGATTGATTGAGGGTTGCCTGTATTTCTATGCAATCCCACCCATCCCTATGCCCATCTCACCCGTCTGCTTAATGCAGATTTGCTAAGCCTGGTACATTACGCACGCAGCAGACATGGTATTGCATAACCTCATTCTGGCTTCAACAAATAGCAAACTGAAATGTTCAGCATCCTCATGAGGAACAAAGACGCGGTCATCACCAGCTAAATCGACAAAATATCTTCATCATTGTGTCACAATATGGTTTCCTTTTGGACAGCACTCATTTCATATTAATCATCATTTGGCTCCAATTTCCTTCTCTCATTCCCTCAGGAGCCCATATTGCCATGCCTGCCACTGTCTCCAACTACACCCATTCTGTATAGCTTGGCTCCACCCAACGACACACACACACGTACTCATGCATGCACACACACACACACACACACACACACACACACACACACACACTCAAATAAAAGATGGAGATCACATCATCTGGAAAATTCCATCCGGAAAGCTGACATCACACCGAGGACATTTTCCTCCAAGGCAGACACACATCTATGATACAACATGCGCACGTGCACACGCACAACCAAAACCTCAGACGTGCAGCGTAGAGTCTCACAGCTGCATCCCAAAGGACAGGAAGAATAGTGGACACTGTGAAATGACACGAAGAAACTCAACAATGGCGGCTCTCACTGCGGCTAACTGAATAAGATGCAACGTATGAGGTGAAAACAAGGTGAAATATCAGTTTTCCATTTTATGCTGGATTATAGTGGTTTTTCTATTCTTTCCACGGAATCTTGAGTCAGATAGTCCGTTTTCCTAACCGAGTGTGATGTGTTGCTGTGTGAGTATGGAAGTTGTTGATGTGTCTGGAGTGAGATTGAGTTTTTATGTATGTTGGCAGCACTAAGTGCTTTGGAGCTCTGGTACCGTTCATCTTTTCTACACAACCGCGTGCCAACCCATCAATCCGCACATGACGCATAGAATATACACACATACTGTTACTGTTATACACATACATCCTACCCTCTCCTCCCTGCAGTAGATCATACACTCTTCCTGGCAGACAATTCCTCACTCTCTCCACTCCCTTCATATTGCACTTTCTCTTGACCTTCCCCCTGCTTCTTCTAACCTTCATCACATCCACAGATCTTCCCCCCAGTTTTTTGCAGGTGACTTATTCCTTTAAAGCATATCTTCTATAGAACATAAAGAACATTAAAAAACATATGTTTAATTAAAATGTTTGACTTGGAGAATGTAGTAATTACCATACATGATCAAATATTTAGCCGTATAATTATATACTTAGTATAGGCTAAATAGGTTTAAACTATTAAACCTATGTAAACTAAGCTAAACTGAACTGGCTTACAAATGTTCTACGACAGTGGACTGACAGTATCAGCACGGTGAGACACCGGCACTAAAAGTTAGTTTGATTAGTAGAGAAATGTGTGCTGCAGTTTAACATTACAGCAGCCACACCACTGAAGAGTCTACTGACTGGACTAATCCAGACTCCAACCTCTGCTCGACTTCCAGTGCATCTGCTTACTTCAAGAGAATGAAATGTTGTTATCATTATCTGTCAAGTGAATCTGAGAAAGAGCTAACTTCCGTGTTTTTTTTTATGGTGGTGTGATGCAGATAGCTTAAGATATTTGGTTTCAATCTTGATTTTATTGCTCTTTCGCTTAGTGGATTAAATTCTCCTTATTTCTACTTTTTTAGCTGTGCTGCACATTTTTACATTTTCCTAACTTTCATCAACTAACCTACATGTTTTTCTTCAACCATCCTTTGTGTGGCTATCATCCATTTTATTTTAACAGATTGAGCTCTTTTTACATGATCTGACCCCACCGCAAA